CAGGACTCTATCATTTGGTGGCAACAGCTTGAAAAGTGATTCGCTGTTTATAGTGACGCAAAATCGCAAAACGAAAACAATAGTCCCTCAGGGCTAACCATACTAATATGCCTATGTGTATTACATATACACATGTAAATGAGGGTATGCGAGCATATACTTGAAAATGACAGATTTAAATTGTAATATATTAATTTATATATATTTTTTTGCATTTGTTTATATTGTTTCATATTGTTTTATTAAAATATGAAAGTGACGAAATGGTTCCAATTACTGGATATTTTATGGAAAGAGATTAATTCCCCTTATTAAATCAAGACTTTCTGTAAGGGGGATCAGTAGTAATTACTCTGATCTATTTGCAAACCCAAAATGTGGCAAGAAAGCAAAATGTGGAAAAATGTATTAAAATACAGTTTTACAGCATTTACTAAGATTAAACTTTTAAAAAATCTCTCATTAAATTAGCATTTACTCTTCGTTTCTTAGGAGGTAATCAAAATGAATATTAATTAAAATACAGTTACATATGTATCCTTTTGTTTCAACTTCTTTCTTATTAGAGAATTGTACCTGCATTCCCGTACTGATAACAGTCTGGTCATACTTTTGGTCAATTGAATACCACATAATGGCATATCGGTGAAGTCGATATACACTGGTGGTTCTTGAAGGCTCTATTCTCTGCTTCAGCTAAATAAAGCTTCTGTTATTTCCTTCACGTACACATGTGCAAGGAATATATGGGCCAGTTTCGTGCACAAAGCCTTTAACAAAGGTCCATCAGCAGCCGAGCAATAAAAGCCGCCGAACACTAGTAGTTTATTCCGGGATTCGATCCTGCTAAAAGGGCTCTTTACATAGGCGTTTTTGAGGTTTTCTTCTTATGTAACGTGCATACCAGACAGTTCCCTTTAAAACATCTTCCATGAAGCATCCCTCCCTTTCGGTGTAGTGTCTAATATTTTACTGAGAGACTGAATTAATTTTTGACACAAGCATTTTTTCAATTAAAAATGCAATTGTCATCACTATGATAAAGAAATAATGAGAAATGCTATTTTAATAATGATTGTAATTTCAGTATTCCTCACTTTCTTGTGCATAATGAAAATACGAGATAAATTTCTGCAGAAGTGACCTGCATAACATCATCAATATTTTGGAAAGATTATTTTCTGTTTACACCACTTCCAGTCTTTATTTGCATATATCATTTAAAGTGGGACTATTTGGATTATGACCAAGGCACAACGGGCTATCTGCCCAAGAGAGAAAGGGTTTCCTGAAAGACTTAAAGGAAATTGGTTGGTACTCATGTTACACGATTCCACATGCAGCCACCTAGTTCACCGAAATGTGAACCAAACCTAACTTTCAGTGTTCATCGAATTTACCGCTTGACCTCTGATAGGTCTGTAAAGTTTATAAATCCACTTGAAATTTTACATTAGTATTAATTTTAACAATTTTTTTGACATTAAATTTTTTTTTCCTTTATATTTCCCCCTTTTATTATAATTTTTTGTATTTAATAGTGCTGTTTGAAACATGCAAAATGCAATGCAATGACAATATCTTCAATAAAATTTGTTTTTATAGTAAAGGAGAATATTTAAAAAAAAAAAAAAAAAAAAAAACCACGTTAAAGGGGGAACAAAGCTTTTATCAGAATACTTATGATACAATGCGGGTGAAAATCAATAAATTACAAAAAACAAAACGGAATAAGAATACTAATGAAAGAGGTAAATGAAACTAATATAACAAAAATACAATGGGATTTGTTTAATACAGTCAAAAGTCGTTAATTCGGACACCCATAATCCAGACCTCAAAGCTACAAACTTTCTGCGCATGTGGCGTGTTTACGCGTGCGCGTAAGACCTTTACGGCTGCGAATATGCGTGTGCGCATGCGCATAATACATTTACGCATACGCATTTAATGTATAACGGAAGGTATAAGCTAAGCTAAAATTATCTAATTCAGTTAATGTTGCAGATTGCGTTGTTCCTTAATCTTCAAATTGGATCCGGCTTATTATTTTTTGCAGACTGTTAGAGTAATTTTATGAAAGTAAGCTTTAATTTTCGATTATGTCAAATAGAATTTCCAATATATATTTACTAATATGTAAAGGATCTACAAAGCGAAAGTATGTTTCGAAGTCCATTGGAAAATGGATAAAGGCATATCCTTTGTTTCTTAACCATTCCGAAATCTGTTTATCAATTTCACGCTGCTCTGGGGGGGGGGGTCGGACATCGCACCGCGCAATGAACTGGAAGTTGATCTGTCAGCACTATCCTTATCTTCAGGGCAGATGTTTTTATTTTATTCAGCTTATAATTCTTTACTAAATGTAGTATTTCATCTTGATGTGTTCCGGCTTTGATATGATTTAAATCAAATTCCTCGTCATTATAAATATCACGAGTACACATCAAATAGTTTTCTGGTTGCAATTTTCTAATTTTGACTATGCGTAATGTATGCTTTACGCATGCACGCATTGAAAGAAATGTTTAATAAAGTAAACAAATAAATAGTAAGCTTTTTTTTTTTGTAAATTTCCATACCCTTTAGATCATAATTGTTCTTTATTTCATAAATTTCGGTTTCATATTTTTAATTTTGTAATTTCTGCATGCCATCTCACCAGATATAAACTGATGATCTATAATCCGGAAAAAGCGATAATCCGGAATCGCTGAAGTCCCGACGAGTCCGGATTAATGACTTTTAACTGTATATAAATATAAGCTGTTACACAATGCTTCGAAACAAATGAAAGAGAACTGCCGGTTTATACTACAAACAAATAGTTAAACATCATTTTCGAGAATAAATTAAAACTGTTAATTCAGTTTGAAAACAAAAACTGATTAGACTATGTACTGATTTTAGGCATGCATAGGAGGTATTTGCTGCTAAGGCGTATTTTCGTCATGACGCAATGTCAAAAGTTAAACATACAATTATTTAGCTACGAAATCTCACAATGTGTTTGCTAGTTTAGGGAAAAGAAACAACAGAAAAGAGTACAAATTTCTTTATATTATTCCCTAATCTCTTATCTGAAAATTAACAAAGGTGACCCAAAGGAAAGGTTTCAAAAGAGTAGTAGGTTCCCTTTACAATGGCGGCTAAAGGGGGTGGAAATCCATATGGATTTCCTGTCTTTTTAAGTGAAGCCTTTCCAAACTGCTCAGTCTCTTAAAGGTTAATAAGATTACAGCAAAGCCTCAAGGGCTATATGCCTAAGAGAGTGATGCCTCTGTGGAGGACTTTCCAAAAGAAACTGTCTCATATATACCTTACACATGAGGAAAAACTATGAAAACGTCCATGCAGCCAGCCCATTTGCAGGATTCAAACCATGGTGGAATCGCCATGATAATAAATTTTTCATGAAAATATAATTTAAATTGTTTGCTTTTATGTTACAAAGTCATAAAAATATCTGGAAAAAGAACCATAGAATAGTACATAAACTAAAACTGGAAGATGCACAGATAAAATCAAAATTGATAATGTTCACAAAATTAATAATATTTATAGGCTTAATCATTGCAGCACTAAATTTTAAAAGATATTGAAGTTAGTGGCAGCATGCTTTAAAAAACTGCAATTCGGAGCACTAAATGAAAAGGATACTACTAACACTTATTTGCACTTCATCTGATAAATGGAAATCACAACTGAAATTCTACACATACATGACATTCTAAAGAGCATACATTACACAAAAACTTTGATTTCAGCTACAAAACTGATTTAACTTACAACAGCATAAAATATTTTAAATGCTACTGATCTAAAATCACCTACGCTTATCACATGTGAATCTCGTATAAGCAATTTATCTTAGAATTTTATTGTTTTTTAATACTTTTAATAATTTATGTCAACACATAACTATATGATGTCATTTAGCACCTGCTTGGGCAATTTTTATCATGTATTTCTAAGGCCTCTTCATAATTTGCAAAAAATGTTTAGTTGCTAATAATCTATAGCAATCCCTTATTTTTGGAAAATATTTTTTCAAAAAGAAAAAGGAACTAGTTTATTTTAGTTCCCACACAACAGTTTGCAAAATGTCCTAGAGTTCTGCTCTAAAGAAATTTGGCTCAAGAAGTTCGCTTTTTCCACGGAAGCAGTAATATCTGTCTATCTATTAAGACACAAACACATGCCGAATAAGTACTAATTCACAAGTCAAACAACAAAAAATCAGCGTATCTTGCCCAGGTTTTCTTATCTTATCTAATCATTATTTCCTATCTTGTTCATTTGCGGTTTTGCAGCTGAGGATGGTGGTTCGGTAAAACCATCAAAACTAGTCCTGTGAAAATTTTGAAAATTAACGCTGATTTTTGTTGTTTGACTTGGGAGTTATCTGTCTATCTAGTAATAAGGTGGTAAGCTTCAACTCTAGCTCAGTGTGTAAGCGCATGATCAGCAGCATTTCAGTCTTTTAAATCACTGCTAGTACAACAGATCCCGGTAAAGAAGAATGCTTATTTCAAAGTCTCTTTAATAACAGCCTCTTTAAAATAAAATAACAGCCTCCTGCATAACACATGCAAATATCCCTATGACTAACACCTTTATGAACCTAACCAATCTTCCCTTTATCTGCAGGAAAACGCATTTTTTTAAATTAAACTTAACATGAACAGCAGAGGTAATAAACATGTAAGTGCTGCTTGAAGCAAATGGCACAGCAATCACACTAATACTGATGGAAATGTAACCCGTTTTAAAACAAGTTTGCATATCATTAAAAAGCTGCAAAAATTATTTACCAAGAGCTGAAGTAAAAGGATAATATGCTAAATAAATGACAAAAAAAACACTAGTAAATAAAACAGCATCCAATATTTAAGAAATTGATAAATATGGAATCCATACATGATAAATAAGTCTCAAGTTACAATGTTACCAAAAAAAGGGGGGGGGCATGATGAAGTTAAAAAATGTGAAATAACTTGCCATTTGTACCATCACTCCACAAATTAGAATTAGGCCTCCGCAAGTCATAAGTGCGTCCAGCACTTGTTCCAGGAATTAATGATTCATCACTATTACTTTCATCTGCATCCGACCCTATTAAAATAATAATACATACAATTAAACACATAAGCTAATTTGAGAAAAAGCCCATGACTAAATGTTTACATGTACTTCCAAAGCAGTTTGCTTTAATAGCATACTTTCAAACCATAGAAAGGGGGGGAAAGCTTATTATTCCCACAAATATTTAAACTATAAACATGTGAATCAATATTTAAAACCCAATTTTACGGCAATAAATAATTATTACTCAAATAACTGTTAAATCAACAATATCCTCTCAATGCAGAAAACAAGCTATATGTAAGACAAGTAGACCAATTAAAAATTATGTAAAATTTAACCCTAGTCAGCAGTTAATTTTACGAAAAGGTCTATACCAGCGATTCTCAACTGGTGGTATGCAGGAGAAAAATAGGTGGTACACAAAGATACAAAGTAAGTGAGAAAGTATTTTTAACAATTAAATTCACAAATCTTGTGAAGAAAAATAATAATTGATAGAAATTTTTTGTGATGGAACTCTAACTGAAGATTTCAAAAATAACACATTAACTTTTGGCTGAACTGAGAAAAAGAATTTAAAGGCATTTCAAATAAAGCTATTCAATTTTTATTCCCTTTTTGTACATTCTATTTGTGTGAACAAGGATTTTCTTCCATGTTATATTTGGGGGGGGAATGAAGAACAAAATTAAAAGTGGATCCTAGTTTACTGTTAAAGCTAAGTAAATATGACCAGACATAAAGAAATTGATCTCTCTTAAAAAAAGGCCCAAATTTCATAATAAATTTTAGAATTAAATATTATAAGTTAAACTTTGATAATTAAAATGGTAACTAAATTTTGATCTAATGTTTTCTATGTGTGCATATTTAATACAAATATGCCAACAGGTTGTGCAAATGGCAATATATATATTTTTTATATGTTTCTATTGAGAAGTTGAAAAATAATCATTGTAAAATGTAGTGCGGTACTAAAGTTTTTCAATTTTTGGTTAGATGGTTCACTATAGTCAAAAGGTTGAGAACTATTTTAAGACGCTATGTGACAGGTCTATCCACTTCCGTGGAACATTTCCTGTTCCATCCTTGGAAGAGGAAAGGCATTTTTCTCCACTTTGCATTTGGTTATATTCATTTAAGTTTATTGACATTAAATCACTGGAAACTGTTCTCTGAACTATACCCAAGTTTAATGCCAATACACAGAACATCATTTACAATCTTAAGCTGAATGGAATCTTAAATATTTTGTTTCATGATTCTTAAAGTACTCTAAAATTCAAATTATCCCTTTTGTTCTATGTGATAAACACTTGGGAAATATTAATTCAAAATTTTCACTCAAAAGCTTTAAATACTAAAATCTAGTTTTTAACATCATTCAGTATAATACTAGTCAAAATCAAACTGCTTATTGCAGCTGTAGATAATTCTTACTTTAAATTGCAAATATCCTTTTTTAAGTCATCTAGTATCTAAAATTCTAAATATTTGAAAGTAAATAATTACTACAGTAATAATTAGCATACCTTAAAATTATTCTATCATATGATCAAAATAAATTACACATAATTCATTTTCAGCAACTTTTTAATTTCCTGTAGACCAAATCACTTTTCTTTTTCAAAAACATTTAAATACAGCAAAAACTCTGAAACAGAGAGAATTTAATTATTCCATGTTAATTTCAGTCACAGATCATTTAGTCAACAATCATGATTAGGAAAGGGGGATCACTTTCTGTTACCATGATTAAGGAGATGGGCTAGGTCAATCCTTTGAGTCACCTTGCACTGATGCAATCTTTGTAGAGGGATGTAACACGAAGTAGTCGGACATCACTATGGTGCACCAGCTCTCATTTTGTATGCTTAAAGTAGTTCAATTCTGCTGCGAAGTGATACTCTAGTGATTCAGACATCCTAACTTAATCATACATATTAGATTTCTAGTAATATAAATATTTAGAAAAGTTTTAATCTATAGTTTTAGTCAGTTTCCCTTTTAAATTCTGTGCTGTAAAGTATTGTGTATGTAAGTCTTTTTATGCTGTAGCAAAGTGCCACAATGTTCATGGAAATAAAAAAGGAATACTGTATTTCCGTGTTCCTAGTCCTAGAAGTAACCTTCCGCTGGTAAAGTTTTGAGCATGTATGTCAATTTATTTTCCCTGCTGTTCAAAAACTTATGTCTGATTGTCCTTGAAATTGATAATTTCATACAAAATTTAACCTAATTTAAAGTTGCTTTTTGGGCCCTCATTACAAATTTAACACTGGCGTAATTCCTCTTCCAGATAATAACAGATATTTTTTAAATAACTTTCCAACTTATACTCACATCTACATCACATAAATTACATTTAAATAAATACAATATCCAAGATCATTGACGTAAATTTGACAAAACAGCTTTACTCACAGTACCAAAAGAGAATTATTTAATTTTTCAAAGAAGGGCTTTGCTTTTTTTTTTTTTTTTTTTTTTTTGCAAAATTACTGATGTTTTCTAAGATTATAAATTATTTAAAATGCTCAGCTAGCTTTGTTTCTTAAGTTTTGTTATTTTAAAGGTTAAATTGTGGAATTTCTGATACAAATTTTTTATAGACATCAATCACCTTTTTTGTCACTTAAGGAAATTCTGTTTCTAATGAAAGAATGGATACATCAAAGAACATACAATTTGTAATGAAAACATTTTCTATACACTGATTACAAAAATGCAAAATTGCTGCAAAGGAAACTTAAATTCCAATGCAGTGAGCAAAGTAAATTACTATAAACAGTAGAAAAAAAAAAGAACACCAAGAAGACAGTGGGGAAAGAAAAGAATAATAAGCAGAGTGCTTTTTAGAGGGTACAAGACTAAAATCTGAAAAAAAAAAAAAAAAAAAAAAAAAAAAAAAAAAAAAAAAAAAAAAAAATCATGTTGAGGCTGGTTATGAAAATGATGTTAAGAAACTAGATATGACTGATTTTAAAACAGAAATCACAAATGACAATGAAAATATCCTTGAATACACAAATTGTAAAGATAAGCAAGAATTCACTGATAATTTGAAGGAAAAATAATAATATAAAATTATATTGAAACACTAAAAAATGAAAAAATTTAGAATGTCTGCTCAGCAACATCTAGAAAAAATTTTGCATCAAAACACAAAATTTTTAAACAGCAAAACTTAAAAACCAAAGCTGGCTAAGCATTTTAAATGATTTATTACCGTATAAACCATCCAAGTAATTTCACATAAAAAAGGCCTTCCTCTTCAACCCTCTCTTTTGGAATATTAAATAATTCTTAGATTGTGAGTAAAGCTGCTTGTCAAACTAAAGATAACAATCTTGTATATTGTATTTATTTAAATGTAATGTATGTGATATAGATGTGAATTAAAATTACAAAATTAGATAAAAATATCTTATTATATCGAATCAAGAGAAACATGCCAATGTAAGATTTATAACTAGGCCCAAAAAGGACATTGGATTAAATTTTGAATAAAACTACCAATTTCAAGGCCAACTGAACTTAAGTTTCTCTTCTTTAACAGCAGGAAAAAAGGACTGCCATATATATTCAAAACTACACTATATGTTCAAACTACAAACTAAGGTTGTTTTTTTTGCCTAATTTCCAAATGCTGTTGTTATAGTTAACTTAAATAGCAGTAGAAATTTCATACTTAATATGCAAATGAAAAAGGGAGAAATTGCAACTTTTAAGAAAACAAAATTTTGTGTAAAAGCATAGAGTGTTTTACCTATTTTTAAATTAATGAATAAGCAGTATTAACTTTTCAAGCATTTTAACATAAAATGTATACAAAAGTAACACAGCCTCTTCCAAATTACAACTATTTTGCCATGAATAGTTAACTTTAAGATTCGTTATGCAAATTTAAAAAGCTAATTTCTTTATTGTGAATTGGCTCTCTTTGTTGTGAACTGACTGTAGTCAGTATCACCATAACTACATCATCACTTCTCACTTCCTGTATTAGGGAGAAAAGCCCTCGAAATTTTTTTTTACTGCAGGCACTTGCCTTTCTAGCATCAACCACACCTAAGGCCGAAAGTGATGGCCACATTATTCTTCAGGTACCTAACAGGCAGCCATTATTACCTCCTATCAGAGGACTCCTATAATTTACATCCATGCCTTCTCCATGTTTTGAACATGGACCCTTCGGTGTTACAGTCGGGTCTCCTAACCACTAAACTATCTGGGCAGCAATAAGCCCTATGAACTAAATCTTCTCTTTTAACCCTCCGAGAGGCATGGGTTTTTTTACCTGTCATGAAGACCTGCATTCCAAGACACTTTATTAGCTAAATTTGTTATATTTACTTACTTTAGGCTCTATCTTCATAAACTTACATTTATTAAGATGATATTTATATTATTAAAGAAAGTAAGAAAGCAAAATATCAAATTATAAGCTAATATATAACAAATGACAAAAAATCTCATGACCGGATAAAGCCGGCCATAACGCTCACAGGGTTAAGCCCTGTTCCATTACGTAAATTCTAATAAAGAGATCTTCAAAGCCTGTAAAGAGAGTGCTCTATGCACTGGTAGAGATTCAATTTTTTAGAGCTGCATAACCTCTTAAATAAGGCCATACTTCTCTTCCTCAAAATAATATTTATTTAGGGCAAAATATCCTTGTTGTTTAAAGAGAGAATAATGTCAGTTTTGTGCACAAAAAATTCTTTCTACATTTCAAAAAAGTTTAAAATAACTACAAATTCAATCTACACTCATCTCCAAATTTATCTTTACATATTCAAAAACAATGATATTCCACAAAATTTTCAGTCGATGCAACACATTTCCACCTGTCATTTAACAGTAAATCGAGCATTTTAGACAGTGAATATCCGAGTTAATTTCTGCAATACAGTATTTCATTTCAGTATGTAAGGATTCAAAATGGTTTGCCATAACTCTAAAGTACCATTTGGAAAAATGTGAAATGGAGAAACAGTGGTTCTTTAGAAACACCAAGATGTATGGATATTTCAAGACACGCAGCCGCTATGCTATGGAAACAATTTAAGAACTGTGGAACTGTTTGTTGCATCAGTATCTGGCAATAACTGCCTGTTGTAATAGAAAGTAGAAAAGTTCGGAGTTTCCAGCCACAATAGGAACTGTCACGGTAAACTATACAAAGATGGCTTAATGAAAAAGGCCTTTATAACAGAATCCCAAGGGTATACATTTCATTGTCTTCACAATAAAGAGATCATTTTAATTGGCACAAAGAAGATCAGAACAGGAATAAAAATCTAATAATCTGAAATAATTGATAAATCTGAAAAATAAATATATTATTGTAAGAGCATTACATAAATTCTAGCACGTATTTATATGATACAAAGACTTCAGCATAGAAATCACATTTAAATATCATGGTTTCTGACACATTTTTTCATCCTAAGATCCATTTTATTCTCACAGACACAGTTTGGTCTATTCTCACAGTCTGGTTTCTAGACATGTTAATGCACCCTCCACTGGAGCATTGGCGTAATAAGTACCATAAGTAAATTTCTAGGAGAAATACTTTTAAGTATTTTTTACAAACTCTAATGAATTTTTTTATGGAGTAAATATTATTACCTAATACAGTTGAAAATCTAGAAACTAAATATTTAGCTAACAGGCACGAGGCAGTGCCTAATTTTGACACAATAGGGCAGAAAGAATATCAATCTTATGAATTTTATGAAGAGCATATAATCTGGCACAATTCACAACAGATGGGATAAGCGACTGCTTTAAGTTGGTCCAAAGAGTTTGTGAAGATTTGATCACAGTTTTTGGGAGGTCCGAAGGTGAAGCATCTTTAGTGATCGGATTATATGGTCCTTCATTTAAGAGTTTAGTGACACCATCGATGTAAGTATTCTTGTCCATGACGACAATCTAGCCACCTCTGTCAGTCTTTGAAATGATAATGTCTGAGTCAGACCCAATTTCGTTCATTGTAGCTCTTTTTCTCACGTTTAGATTTAGTTTCAAAGGCTGATTGTTGAACTTCACATTATGAGCGGTAAGATGCCTAATAATTTCTTTCTGTATATCTGAAACTTTGCTGAATTTGAAAGTTTTTTCGATAGGAGCCATGATCTCTAGAATCGAGGGTTTTGAAAAGTTAAAATACTTCAGAATTCTCTCTTGTTCGTCTAATAAACTAACACTAGAAATACTAACTATTGACTTAATATTTATCTTAATTAAAATAATTGTATTTAAGTTCTTAACTAATAAAAGACAATTTAACAGAATCAAGTTTGAGCATCTTATTCATGTGACAAGAAATTAAACACCAGTATAAAGTAAATATAACGAGGTGGACACATTCTGAAAATAAGAAAACTGGTAAACAATAGAAAAAATAAAGCACTTGAAAAGCTCTTAAGAAGTCCCACCTAAGAGAGATTTATTTTTCCCTGAAAGTTGAGTTGATTCTGTAAGTTGAATAATGACTTTTAAAATGCGTAAGAAGAAAGCTTGACTTGATGCTTTGCTAGTGAGTGCAGACATCGATGCCAACTGCAGTTCTCTGCCACATCTTCCTTTCAATTTAGAAGGTGCATTAATCACAACAGAAGAATTAGTAAATCTGTGGAAATGAGAAAATACACAAAAAATAAGTTTAACATGCAAAAACTATCCTGGAAAATTGAAAAAAAATTTTTTATAATAAACTTCGGTAGACAACTTTTTATGCATATCTGGCTACTTAACATACAATGATATGTACATATATATTTAGATATGATTATTTGTTTATAAAACCAATTAATAGTTCTTATGTATCTGAGTACTGTTGCACACGATCATTTATAATATTATGCGGTGCCACGTTTGCGAGACATTTTCTCAAAAGAGCAGGATTTTTTATTTACGTGGTGTGGTAAAGTCACTTAACACTAGTAGTTACACCTGGGTTTGATTACAGGTGAAAGAGCTTGCTGCATAGGCATTTTCATTGTGTTCTCCATGAGCAACATGTATAGCAGCCAGTTTTGTTTAGACCCAAAGGCATCCCTCCTCTTAGGCACACAGCCCTAGCATGCTTTGCCACAATCAAACTAAACCAACATCATTCTTATGTTTTGTTTTTCAGGTACACATGTACATAGTGGAAATTTTATGTCTTTTTCATACAGGTCTTTTTAAGTATTTTTACGACTTCGGTACGTAGTGTGACATGTATGCATACAAGAATATGAGAGACACAATAGTCACACTGAACAGAAAATTTCAAGGAAAATTCAATAATGATCTACCAACATGGAATATGAACAGGTAGAGACTTAAGGGCTATCTTGTACTTTTATACGTTCACATCACAGCAGATAATGATTCGTATAGCACACATATGGACAAAAGACACCATGGAAATAAACAAGGTACAGTTAGGAAATTTCATGAAAATATTACCACTTAATTTGTCTCACATTTATGGGACTGGAAACAATTCAATAACAAAGCACACATTAAAAGACTGTGAAGCATTTATGAATATTAATTTATTTTAATATGACAAAGCACACAGAGCCATCTGCCCAAGGAAAGGAATGTCACTGCAGAGGACTTTCTCAGAGACACTAGGCTTATACTCATGTTACATATGCAGAAAGCCATAAAATACAGCCAGTCAGTTAACATGAGTTCGAATTCTGCTCAAACTGCCAGCAACCATTCAGCAACTAGTGAGGCCACATTTTTGCATGCATCTAGTTTAAGTTCTATTAATGACTTAGTAACACATAAGCATAATAATAAAAGAATTTACCAAACGAACACACCCTGTTAACCAAAACTCTATACTAATTGCTTAAAAGACCATTTGACAGCAACTCCAAGGAAGCACAATGGCTATTAAATTTAGCTAACAGGCACGAGCAAATTTAGCAAATTTAGCTAACAGGCTAATGGCTATTAATCTAAGTAGCCATCAGCTCTGAAGCCCAATATAATAAACTATGAGTTTAAAAGCTTTACAATCCATACTACGCACAAAATATTGGCACAATTTTCATGCTATCAATAGTAAGAAATGTCATTATGTATTCAGAAGGAAAATCAATACAAAAATATTATTAGAACCAAGTGCATGAAGAGCATACAAATCTGTTCACCAATCAGTGATAGTAACATATATGAGGGTCGAATGCCTTAAAAATGATGCCTTCCAGGAGAATATTCTAAGGAAAGCTCACATTCACATTTAGCAAAGTGATCTAATGTACACTTGTCTAACCTATAGTCAGCCCAAGCCCATGAAGTTCCTCATGGCAAGAAGTGCAAAATTACGCCTGTCATTGGCAACAGACTTGAGCAACCTTACAAGTGACAGTGCAACTTAGCTCAGCTCCACTACAAGGGATGGGTCCGAGGGTCTCTAGCCCCTCTTTCCTTACCACAACCTCTTGAGAGGAGTTTCAGGTCACTGTATACTCAGAATCATGCTCCATGGACACTATACATTTACAAACATCCATGCTTTCTCCGGGATTTGAACCTGGGCCCTTCAGCACGGCAGTCAGCAATGCAAATCAATATACTGGTTGGGTTACAGCAAAGAGATCTATGTAAACTAAATAGCTACCATGTTTACAAGGAACTGAATCTCAGATGAATTATCATAACTAGTTCAGCAAATAAGTCAAAAATCTATATGTCTAAGAACTTCAAACCAACAAAAATTAATTTTATTATTGTTATTGCACTATTTACTATATGAAGGAAGTAAAATATATTAATATTTAATTAAATATCTAAATTTTATGTTCTTTGGCTAATCTTGTAATTTTCATAATTTTTATATTGAGAAAAATCTTAAGTAGCAAAGAATAGATCCTTTATCAGGGCACTTTAAAAATACAGTCAAAATGAAACTGATTATAAATGCATATACTATTGTGTAAATAAACTTCATAATGTATCACAATGATCTGAAACAAAAATACAAATATTTATTGATTACACATAAGATTTCATAAAAAGTCCTACAAATGCCAATAGGAGATTAAGACCAATTCATATCAAAATTTATGAAGGAAAACTATGCTGAAAATCATGAGGGGTGGGAGATGGAATTTGCACTTTCATTAATCCAATAAATATAATTTACTGCAGGGAAACGTTTTCCTTAGTAAAGACTGGACTGCAAGAAGAAGGAACTGCCAGTTTTTCCAGATTTTAGAAGTAATGCCACCTCTCCCAACTTCATCTTTTTTGGAAAATGCTGATGTTTCCAACAAGCTGAAATGACTTTGGGAATTAACAGTGAATTTCTCTAATGATAATATTATCAGTACCATTTGGGCGTGGAGCATGTTTACGTGCCAGGGTACGTATATTATCCATTTCTGTTTACATAGGAGGCAATTAATCTCTTCAGGTAACTTGGCGAAATTTTATAATGTAGGAATCTCTCGCCTCCTGTTGCTTTTCTTAAGTGAAACTCTTGATCATCATCAGGGAAAACTGCATTTATTATCTCACTGATCACTTCAGTGTTGGATGAGGCAGTTCTATTCACCACAGGTGTAAGGGTCATAGGACGAAAAACCTTGTGCTTAGGACGAAAAAGATGCTTTCTTTTGGACCGGTCCGAAGGCTTCTGTGACATTACTACAGTAGGTTTTCCATAACATTAATTTGGCCTCTTTAATATTTCCTTCATATTCTCTGGCTTTTTTGTATGTTATCATTTTGAGTTGCCATAGATTTGGATCCACCAAGCACTGTGCTCTTCTTCAAACTACGCTCTGCTTCTCTCCACCAGGAGATTGAATGTGTTGCTGTGAACAATTTCAAACGATATGCTTTGTGGGTAACCTGCATAATTTTTGTAATCAGTAAGTTGTAGAGCTTATGTAAGGAGTTTCTGTCCTGGCAGTTGTTAAAATCCTTGATAAGTTTCTCTACATGCATTCGAATATGTTTCCATAAAATAGAATGTCCTCCAAATGCAGTCTTGAATCTTATCTTTATTATATATATTCTATAGGAGTATCCAGCCTGTAAGATATAATTTTGTGATTGCTAAATGACAGCAGGTCACTCACTGTGAAATACTGTATGTACAGAGATGTATTGAGAATAGATGTCATCATATCTGGCCACCCTCAAGCTCTATATGTTTCAAAAGTAGGTGGTGAGTCTTGAGCGTCGATGACAATGAAATGCTCACTGTACAAGAATTCTAGAACCACAACTCCTCTTCGGCTCTCCAAGTCAGCTCGCCATTGTTGACTGGTGGCATTACAGTCTTCTGCTGTGATACAATGTAATTCCCCAGTTAGAATGTTAGAATAAAGTTTTTATAATAAGGAAGTAATATCTTCACTTAGGGGTAGACACACAGCAAATTGTTTGCTCTGTGACTTTCATTAGGAGAGGGAAGAGAGCGCTACCGTAAATAATCACAGCTACCTGGTTCTTTAAGAGAAATGCTCTACTGTGTGTTGGAACACTGGGAATCGCTCCATTGTAAGTGTATGGTTCTTGGAAAATTCTGGCATTGGCAGCTGTATGTGACATTATTTGCAGTGTGTTTATAGTTGCTGCATAACACTTCTGCAAATTATACTGCAAAAATCAAAGACCTGTTATATGCTTATATAAAATCATCTTAGCTTAGTTCTGAGCAACAGTCGTTCTCAGGCTTTCTAAATGGGCTCAATACACTGGGCAGGGCTTAGCAAAGAGTAAAAATTAAAAAATTGAGACTGTGATCTACCACGAGACATGATGAAAAAATGGGAAACTCCCAGTACAACCAGGAGACAGTTGGCACCTATGTTTAATAAAAATAATGAATTAGCAACTTTAAAATGTTTTATAGCTATCCCACGAGTAACAAAAAACAGTAAGTGTTAGATTGTATTTCCAGATTATTCAGTTATCTAAAATGATGATTTATGAACGGATATAGACATAAATTCTGAAAATTACTAAATAATGTAGCACAGTAATTAATACTAAATTATGAATCAAAATTTAAATGGAAGGTGTATGCAATACACACAAGAAAACCTACAGGGATTTTAAGGACCCAAAGTAATTTTTACCAGATTATGAAAGGATATAGACATAAATTCTGAAAATTACTAAATAATGTAGCACAGCAATTAATACTAAATTATGAAACAAAATTTAAATGGAAGGTGCATGCAATACACACAAGAAAACCTACAGGGATTTTAAGGACCCAAAATAATTTTTACCAGATCATTTATCATAACCTCAATGAGAGAAAGAATAAAAATGAAGTAATGAATTATGAATTTTTTAGAAATATTTAAAGAAAAGTCAGTATTTCTCAGATTAGTTACCATGGCACAACAACTACTCTAATTATTTTCACAGAAATGATACTTAGTCCATGTGGCTTTAGAACTGGATCATCAGGTTGTTAGCGCTATGACAGAAAGAAAATCTAAGAACTGCTATACAGCACAATATTTTTGAAAAGCACCTACTTGGTTTGAAAATTACTTCAAAGTAGATTATGTCAAAAAGTTTGAATAAATTCAAGGCCTTTGCAATGCCAAAGCTCCATCTGAATTTACTTCAATACAAAAAAAAAAGCTTATTGGGCTAACA